GTGCCTACAGCACAGCATTACTCCAGAGATGTTCAGACAGGTTTAATGCTGCTAAATATAAACTGCTCCTAAATACAATATGACTCAGAGGTTGTCAGGAGGGCAACGTCACAGGACAAAAATGATTCCTTTTCTGTAAGTGGGCTTCCCAAATGACATTTTACTTTTTAGGAAAATGACATACTGAAAGGCAACAAAAAATAGCAGGTGACAGCATGTTATTAGTCAGTTTTTTCAGTGTGTGTGAAAGGTTTCTTTAGAAAGTGTCACTCTTCCATTTCAGCTGAAGCTTGTGTGAGCCTGAGAGGTTCGGTCTGTAATATATGCAACAATAACTATTTTGTTATTCTGAATATACCAAACACACAGCAACCTCTAAAATGTTTTAAACTGTATCTGAATTTCCACCAAATTGCCTTTTCTTCTTCCATGGCCACATTCTCATTCTCCACTGACAGCATCTTTGACAACTGACAACTGAGTTGGCACAAATCATGATATTTGTTGTTCCAGTTACTGACAGACCTGACTGCCTGTACTGAAAAGACAGCAGCATGCTTGATAAAATCATTATGTGTATAGAATATTTTGCATGATCACCTGATAAATAACATCTATCTATCTTCACACATGTTCACACATGTTCACCATTCCCTGTTGCCTATGTGAGTGTTAGGCAGTGGAATAAAGGAACAGTCCTGAGTCATTTCTCAAGTCACTGGAGAGGCTTTTCTTGGTGTCACTTTTATTTATTCATTATCCATGTCTTATTTATTCACACTGTGCTCCTCAGTCAACAGATCAAGCTACTTAAAGCAGCATGCCCCTGCTTGGTTCAGCTACTTCTGTCCTTGTGGGATAGTTTTAAAATAAATAAATGTAGTCAATAAGACTAGCTGTCTGTCTCAGTTTGCATCTGTCTGCATCTTTTGCAGTTCTATTTTTTTTTATTTGTGCCATGCCCTATTTTTCTAGCTCTCCCTACCTATATACTGTATTATAAGATGTTTATTTTCTATAGGAAGAAAACAACACAAACAAGAAAGTGTTTCAGAATATAAAATCACAAAGCGCAACACAATTTTTTGTGAACTCTCCTTTTACCCGTGCACAAACTGGAACCTTTTTGAAAATATTTCATTCGTGTTCACACCTATAAATATAATTATGCACTTTTTTCATATGACACAAAAACAAAAGCTCAAAGTTTGAGCTAAACACCACTATTTCAGACCCTTTTAGTCATTTCCATAAAATTCATGAGTGTGCACTGCGCTATAGGGGTGAATAAAAGTTGCATAACGCTTGGCAAGGCATGCAGTGTCACATATGGAGGATTCTGCTTGTGGCAGACTAAGGAGGATGCATGAATTATTGTACAGTTATCACCTCGGATCTGTATTTTCAGCCTGTCCTCATTCCCAGGGCATCAACTACTGTCAATATGTCAAATACCTTTAGCGTCCCATACGGGCGTATGAGACGCACAGTGTTTTCAGTCGAGTATTGACTCGCGTCTGAGAGCAGGAGGTCATAGTATATGAAAGGAGAAACCTAAGGGTGCCTGGTGTGGAAAGGCAGAAAAACAAAACATTGAGCTTTCCCCCAGGAAAGTTTGCCTCAACTGTGCAACCAAGTGTTTCTTTTTTCTTTAAATGATTTTTTTTTTTTTTTGCCCAAGCCATGATATTTCACTAAAGGTAACAACACCGATCTCCTTCTAATCATGGGGAGAGAATAAATACAACTTCTCCCCTCTAAACAAAACAGGGTATGCCTACTCTCTTCCTGGTGTGTGTGTGCCTGTGTATTACTTACATCATGAGGACCGAAACCTGTGCACAGCAATAAAAACAAAATATATACAAGTTAAAAGAGCAAACATGGACTAGCTGTTCAAGAGTGTAATAGCTCGGGGGAGCATTTAATAGCCTAAATGGCACACTGGGGAAGTGGACTATAGTAGAACACTCTATCTCAACATGATTTGTGTAAACATACTGTAAGCACTGGATGAGGGGGTCCAGTTTTCTGAGAAAATCTACTACTAGCCTTAGTTAAGCCCAGTAACAATGCTACAAGTCGTTACCTACTGCAAGACCCGTGGGTCTTCAGAGCCCTTTGCACTGAACACAAAGGGCATCCAAATGTTTTTGAATCATTTACATTTCTTTCTGTAAAATCTGTAATGTCACTGCACTTAACAGCAGCCAGCAAAAAGCCTGTTACCACACTGCAATTGTTGTTGTCGTTGTTTAGTGAATCCCCAAAGAGAACGTCAAAAGGAAGCACATTTCAGGCTCCATTAATTACCTCAGTGAAACCGGTTTAATTTCTGATTTGTGCTACACTGTCATTAAAGGATAACTGTCTGAGTAATTACATTACTAACACATTTACTCCTTGAGTTTTACAGTACGAAGAAAAGAAATAAAACTGAGAAAGAGAGGCAACAAAAACACTAGACATAAGGCCTGCCTGCTACTACCCAGTTAAACTGTACACACACCTCCTGGCTGCCTCATTTCTGTTTCACCCCTGCTTGCCAACTCTACTAAAACTCTCTGAGAGAAAAATAAATAAATAAACACTATAAATATACTATGGGAAATACATGCATAATACATAGAAGCATTTTCCTCGTTCCTCACGAATACTCACAAACACTTGCCCTGTGGCTTCACGCAGAGTCATGGGTAATGCAATAGCAAGTGAACTGTTTGAAAAGACATTAGCACAGTAGTGAGTGTTTGGTCACAGTATACAGTACATAGAGTACGTGCATACCAGGTTAGAACAGAAACCTGTATACACAACATTTCTTCAGAAAGTAAGAGCACAGTGTATATACTGTATAGTAAATGGTAATGGTCTTATATCACACACTGTTTAAAAGGGGTCAGATGATTAAAAGGAAACAGATACTAGAAATAAAATAAGGGAGTACATCTGGCAGAATGCACACACACTGTCTCATAGAAGCTGCACACTGTCAGGTTTAATTTGACCCTAACCTTGGCTACATGAGATGAACTGATGACCAACTACCGCTGCTTTGTGCACACCTCCCCTGACTTGACTCTGCTGCAATCTTTTAGTTGGTGACTCATAAGCATCCCCAGAAACCTCAGTGCTCATTAGACCAGCAGCAAGTCTCTCCCACCATTGATCTGTAAAACTTCAAGAAGATAGCAGAGAAAGTAAGTACACACCCAGACAGCGCAAACATGCCGCATGCAGCAGCCACAGTGCTGTGCAGCACTGGTCTCACGCCAAGAAGCCCTGAGCTGTTTACATCTATGAGACTTCCACAGAGAAAGGTCTCATGTTGGGTTGCATCACCAATAGCAGTTCAAATATGAAACAAAGTGAGGAAATCTGAGCTGAACAGATGAGAGAGAATGAGCACAGCAGATCCTCTTTACTAGAGACCATGTTCAAATATTAAAGCTAATTCATAGTAACAGTCAGTCAGTTTCACCTGTTCTGGGTAAGTTGATACATAAATCCATAGAGAATTATCACCCAACTCTGTAGTTCTCTTCAGGTTTCCAAAGCATTTTAGCTTTGTTCTGGTTTTACTGGCCTTGTTCAGTCTCATGGCTCTCATTAACTGGGCTTCCAGCAGCAGCAGGCAGCTGTTTAAAAAAAAAAAAAGCTCTGATAAATATACTGTATGCTACCTACAGCACCATATGGCAGGCATCCAAAGTTATCAACTAGCTGTTTCATATAGTGAAGCATTTATGTGCTCAGTAGTTGGCAGAGACCACAAAATGAGCTTTAGATGGACTTAATTTAGTCAGGTGGCCAGAAATGTGACTAAATGAACGCTAACGCTGCTTTGTAACTGCTAGATGTGTAAATAGACAACATTAGGTTTATGTCTGCACTGGGGGGGTTTCTGGTCTCAAGTGGCAAAAAAATATCAGTGAAATGTTAAAACAGCCTGACTGAGGATTAAAATTGGACAAAACAACTGCAGTCTGCAGTTATTGTTTTGTTGTTTTACTTAGCGGGGCTGATAACAGGTGCATAACTAGAAGCTCATTTGCATTTTCTCCCTATTTATTTGATTTTCTGAAGACCTCCCTTACTGTTAACCGATATTTAATGAACACTGCTTCTTCTGAATATGTGAGGCAATAAACACATGCCCGGTACAGACATGAACGAGTCTCATTCAAGGTGCGCACGAGATGCTGTGTGCTGCACATGTTGTGCTTTTGGTTTGTGCCACTTCATACATGATGTGGACTGTCGTGCCTCTTAAATCTGATCGGCACAAATTCTGAAATCTCAGAGTGATTGACTGGCCACCGGTCAAGGTTGATCACACTGAAAACCAGCCTTTCACCAATCAATCGGTGCATCTTGAGTTGTAACAGCTGATATTTTCACTCTGACCCACAAATGTCAGCCTCACCATAGTCAATGGGATTTGTCTTCTAGGGACCATGAATGATATATGGCAATCCATCCAATAGTTGTTTAGATATTTCAGTCTAGACAATGGCAGTGCAAGGACACACCAACCCAAATTATCATACTGAACCATGCTGTTAGTGTGGTTTAAAATGAATAAGACTTTTGAGTGATAAATCTGAAAACTGCAAATGTGTTGCAAATGGAAAACTTGACAAGGTAGCAGCTGGCACTAAGGGAGACAGGGTATCCGTGCAAATTCTCAGTCATCCAGGTCGTAGTATGCTGAAAAAACATAGAAGAAATCATCTGGACGTAGTCGTTAGAGGACATTGTTGGCCTTTGAGGGACTGAAACACCACCCAGGAAGGATAAACACCTCCTGCTCACTACCAGTCAGACAGAACTGATGAAGCCTCTTGGATGAGAGGTGAAACGTCTTCTACCTAAAACTACGTCCAGATGATTTCTTTTACGTTTTTTCAGCAAGGGAGACAGGGCTTAGAAAACAATGAGCTGACTCTTTCCTTAACAGTGCAATCCTTTTCTTCTTTTCTTTTGTCACCAACATGCAGACTTTATGGTGACCTGACAAACTGCACTTACCTGGTGGCTCTGAAGATGGAGTGCTTCTGGCCCAACCGGCTGGTGGACGAGTTCTTCATCCAAATCCACAGGCACTACTTTCACAACTGCTCGCTCTCTGGACGGCTTCTCAGAGACCCACCCAACCGCATCCTGGGTCCCTTCATTGTGGTGCCCGTAGTAGTCACCCTCCTCATGACAGCTCTGGTGGTGTGGAGGAGCAAACGCAGCGAGGGGATTGTGTAGTGAAAGGTAGTAGGGAGGCCAGAGTCACAAGACTCAAGATAAGAGGTACTTTTTGTCCCTAGGGTTTCACTGTTCTTACCTTCAGTGACCAAAGGATCTCTTTCCTGAGTGTGACTATGTGAGGAAAGTGTTTCAATAGGACAAGAATCACTATATTGTGAACCTGAGAACCTGGAAGAGGAGCTAAATGAGACAGACTTTAGTGATCCTTCAGTGCATCTACATCAATACAAAGCCTTTGCAGCTGGTACTGATATACCAGTGTTTTAAGACTGAAATCATTTCTTTCTCCTCAGCCTCCCCGGGAAAGTCTATGCCAGGGTACTGGAGAGGAGAATTCGAC